AATTTGATGTTGCGGGCAGCTCACGCACAATTTCTTGAAACGCTCCTAATACTCGTATAAGTTCTCCCCATGTAATTGTCGCACCTCGCATATCTCCTTAGGTATGTTGGCAGCTTGGGATGCTGGAAAGTATCTCTCTAGGAAAAGTCGTTCCATTACCTCCCATGTTTCAATCGAGCCCAACGGAGTGTAATAAAGCCAATCCTTAGTCGCATCCTTCAATGAAAAAGGGAAGGCTCGCAACTTGATTTGTTCTTCTGTGATACCTGTTGGTTTCATGCTGGTGCAAACCAAGTGAAGCTCCTTCAAGTGCTTGTATGGATACTCTCATGCATGGCCATAAAACGAAGGTAAATAATGGATTAGCCCAGATTTTAGTTCAAAGGTAATGTTATCGTCTATAGCAGGAAAAGTAATGCAAAGAGGCTGAATATCCAAATTAGGAGCTGCCAGCTCCTTTAATGTTCTATTCGCATTCGCCATCTGGACCACGTTCAAGTCCCTTTCTTCCAAGTCTTCTTCTGAATCACTATTAATCTCGAATAAGATGGTAAGTGTCCCCTCTTCGATGTCTATAGGGGCTGCCCTTCTCCTTGCTTCTTTTCTCAATTTCTTAGCTGTTTTCTCAATTTCTGGGTCAAATTGAATATCTTCGACAACACTAAAACGCGTCCCGATCATCAGTCTGCCAAGAAAATAAGAATCAAACTAACCAAGCTGTTAGAGAAGTAAGAGATAGCAGAGATAAGACAAGAGAATAAAAAAAAAAAAATAATAAAAATATAATAGTAATAATAATAATAGTAATAAAATCACACAACCAAAGATTTAATTAAAATAATTCCCCGGCAACGGCGCCAAAATTTGGTCGTGCTGTCGTAGGTACCCAAATTAACCTTGCTTAAAAATATGTAGTAGTGTGAGCAAGGATCGTATCCACGGGGAACAATTTATTTAAATGACTGTAACTATGTGATTAAAATGGGGGAGAACCGATTTATAAACCTAATTATCTAATTAACAAGAAAATGAAGAAGGTATTGGTAAAGATTATTAAATAAAAGACTCAAAAGTAACAACAAGATGAAGATGAATATATAGGTAAAGTGCTCCGGTTCAATTGATTTCCACCCCGAATTATTCTACTGAACATTGACGCAAATATTATCAATTCATAAATATGTAGATGCCATTGAATGATGAATTCTGACTCCTAAATTGGCCATGCAAAATAAATCCTCCTACACAACCCTTATTACTAGGCAATTCCCAACATCGTGCAAAATTATCCTAGCAATAGCATTAAGAAGTAGAGTCCGACAACACAAGCAACAAATAAATAATCCGTTAAATGCTAACTTGTATAATTATATTGCCTAAGAATGATAACGCCTAAATCCGGTCAATTACCACACTCAGTTGCTTCTTACGATAGATAAATCATCTAATCTGACTCAATATCTACCAAGCAATAAATTAAGCGAATAAGACAATAGTTGATCAGGCTACAATCTTAACACAAAATCATAAACACAAACACACAAAACAATCAATACGAAATATGAATTAATAGATAAAACTAATTAGATCTCACAGTATTAAGTTCGGGGTTTCAATCGTATTCAACCGAAGCAAAAGAGGATTAGCCGCGCAGTGCTTCCATAAAGTCTAGCAAAAATGTAGAAGAAAAATAGAGAAAAGGGAAGAAAGAATTTTAAGGTTGATGATCGTGTGATCCCTTCTTTCTGCTCCTTGCGGCTGTTGTACGTGTTCTGTAGGTCTCCAAAATTGATATGCTCCTCTTTAATTATCGTTGGTGTTTAATGTTCCTATTGGGCTTAGTGTTACCAGGCCCATGTTAAGAACTGATGAGCTGCTTATGCTGACATGGCCATGTTCTACAAAACTCAGCGCTACCATGTTGGTTATATATGCACCATGCGATCTAACTGCACAAAAATATCAACAAATGTAGTTTCTACTCGAAGACACATTATAAAGTCGAAAACACGTCACTTAAGCACAAATATCCAAGACAAAGTCAGAATTTTACTATAATTGAAACATATATTTTCGACTTATCAGATAATGCTTCGAGCCCATATCCACTATTCCTATTCCTACTAGGAATATGCTCCTGGCTACGTTTCCTGATCTTCCGAGGATTACTTCTGTCGTCGATCTTTCTCGCGCGTTCCGGCACTCAACTGCTTTTCCTATTCCTGCGGGGTTTAGTATTTGCGCCTTGCCTATTCCTACAAGGATTAGGCATGCCGCCTTGTTCTTGCATTATGCCTCGTGCGTGTCGCCGTGCG